GGAAAAGATTCCACAGAATTGATTGTAAGCATGTGTATTTTATTCAAGGAAGACTTATTTATTTTTTATGTCTCGTGAGGAATCTACTTAACTACTGAACTCATAGACCGATGCCTGTGCTATTGGATCAAGGGAAGGGAAGAGTTGGGAAAAAATGAAAGGTAACATGGTAGAGAATTTCCTGGTGGCAAAGAAAGGACTGATGGATGATATCCCAGTTTCTCAGACAGCAAAGAATATAGACAAGTTGGATGGTTGGTCAGTTTTTCTACCAATCTTAACAGAATCATTAAAAGACCATAAGAATTAGAGAATGATTTAAAGACATCAATAACTGGGGAACATTAAAAGATGAGGGCCACCAATATTCCTGGGAACTTCCTGGGTCAGGTACTTCATAAGTGGAGGCCCCCAGAATTCATGCCATAGATAATTAATCAGTATACCAAAAGGGTATCATGTGCAGCAAAGGGTAATGGGGATATAGAGAAAGAATCCAAAGATCAAATACATTCTTAATGCAGACCCAAAAGGAGAGAAAGACAGGGGATTAAAAAAAAGTACAAGAATATCCTTACATTATTGGCGAGGTGGAGGAGAAACCGAACCACTGCCAATTCGAGAGGCATAAGGATCATAAACAATATAAATGCAAAACAATCCCACATATCGATATAACATTTTCTTTCAAAAATGAAACAAAGATGCTTAAAGAAAAAGTAAGTCTTGTCTGACTTCTCAATAATATAATGGAAACTCAGAGACCATGGAAAATAATTCAATACAAATCTAGAATTTTATACTCAGCTAAAACATATTTCAAATAATGAAGCAATTAATATTATAATAATGTATTTAAACAAACAGACATTTGTGATTTATTTACAGTACGTCCACAATAAAAGGAGTTCTTCAAGCTGAAGAAAAATTATCAAAGATAGAAATATAAAAATATAAGGAGTAATCAACAGAATTGGCTAAATTTATAAAAATAATAATATCTTGTAAAAATAGTAATTTTTTAGTTATATAGTACTAATTTATTTCCACAATAGTGAAAGTAGTAAGAATCACAAGATAAAAAGTAACCTAAGTGTTCTAAAGCCCTTACATTTCCAGACATGCTAAACTTACTAACACTTAATTTCAAGCAATAATACATTATAATCTCTATGGTAACCACTATAAAATATCATACTATTATAGATGATTATAACTAACAAATGATAGAGTGAAAAGCGAATATATAAATACAATTAATCAAAAATTTATTCAGACAAAGGGAAAGAAGGAAACATAAAACAAGTTACACAATGAGATGAAGTTATGAATTTAAATTCAAATATATGAGGAACCACTTAAAAATATATTGAATAAGTGGTTCAATTAATTAAGATGGTTTGACTGCACACAAGAAAAACTGAATGTATACCACTTAAACAAGACAAATTTTAAATGTAACCGAAAAACTTGAAAGATTTAGAATGGAAATATGTATTCAATAACCAGACCTAAAAAATAAAAGCTGTCATAAATATATCAAACACGTTAAGCTTTCATCAAGCAGCACTGTAAAGATACAGTGTGAGGGAATGAAGGACAGATGACCCCTT